ACTGAGTAACTCTGTAATTTTCGTTAAATACAATTCGGTTGCCCTCACCGGTGTTCCCCTTCACCACAACAGTACTTATCGATCAGTGAAAAAATTAAGATTGGTCACAGTTTAAATGAATAGTATTCAGTTTAGCACTCATTCCATCTTTCAATAAGGTCAATAAGTTAGTCAGTCAGTTAGTCAGTCAACAACAACATAGAACTTCGTACGTACGTACAGCAGTTCAAGTTGCCATAACACATTAGCACAGAGATGCAATTGTCCATTCAAATCCCATAGTAGTAGAGATAGAAGAAGTATTAGTTGTAATCGGAGAGATTAGGGTTCGAGGATATTGTTCAAGAAGTAGAATCTTACTTACTTACTTACTTACTTAGTTACGCCTGTTACCCCCAATGGAGCATAAGCTGCCCACAAGTTTACTCCAACCAACTGTGTCATGGGCTTCCCTCTCCAATTCTGTCCAATGTTTGTTCATTCCTCTCACATCTTTCTCTATTTCTCGGCGTAGTGTGTTCCTTGGCCTTCCTCTTTTCCTTTTTATGCCTTGAGGGTTCCAAGAGAGGGCTTGTCTTGTGACGCAGTTAGGTGCTTTCCTCAATGTGTGTCCTATCCACTTCCAGTGCTTCTTCCTGATTTCCTCCTCCACTGAAGGAATCTGGTTTGTTCTCTCCCACAATAGGCGGTTGTTGTTGCTGATCGTGTCTGGCCAACGAATCCGAAGTACTTTGCGTAGACAACTGGATGATGGCTTTGAGAGTTCTGCAAGTTTCCGCTGCATACAGTAGAACTGTCTTCACATTTGTATTGAAAATCCTGATTTTGATTTTGGTTGAAAGTTGTTTGGAGTTCCAGATATTTTTCAACTGTAGAAATGCAGCCCTTGCTTTTCCGATCCGCTCTCTCACATCTGCATCCGATCCACCTCGGTTGTCGATGATGCTGCCCAAATATGTAAAGGTGTTAACGTCCTCCAAGACATCTCCATCAAGAGTGATTTGGTTGGTGAATGTTGTGTTGCATCGGAGAATTTCGCTTTTACCTTTATGTATGTAGAATCTAGTAGAATCTAGTGTAATTAACTTGAAAAGAAAAAGATACTGATGATGAGGAACTTTGAAAACTGGCATTTGAGAGAACACAAAGAATGAATGGACGTGAACCATTGCAAGCGATTTTGGGCCACGT